AAACAGAAATCCGACTCGGTGTCGCCTGAACGCTGCTTTAAACGAAGAAAACAACATAAAGTATTAAATCTGGTCAGTTTGATGGATGAGAATCTGAAATATTTCCTCCTGAGCTCCTTTTCTGTTAAACGTCTTCTTCTTTCCTGTTTAATTAAAACTGTTTTAGCTTCTCTCAGATTCGCGGCCGATGAACCGACTTCTGTGAAACCGGCTTCAGTTTGTAACTCGAGCACGAAAACTTTAGCCTCAAACGTTAAATCCTGCAAACAAACAAACTTTTCTTCACGAGTTTGCTGCGTTTTTCTTTAATTATCCGAGTCGTCCCCTCGCCTCCGAAACTCGCCGCCGTTGCACCAAAGCGTGATTTGACGCTCAACAGAAACATTTGCAAGCCGAGACGGACTTCGGTTTGCATATGAATGTCGCTTTAGTGAAGCTAACGTCGGATAAAAGCGTGAGAACGCGTCGCCGTCCAACCGCCGCCATTGTCCTGCTCGCCCCATCGAAAACCGCGTCTTTGCGTAGCGCGTGTTGGCGGCGGCGATTCCTTTCAGCGCGTTAAAAAGAACTCGAGCTCGCATTTGTTTTTATGTAAAATATATATTTAGAAAATTATTTCAATAAACGGTCGGAGAGCTGCGAGTCGGTTTGGAGGGAACAGAACCGGAGTCCGGTTTCAGCGGCGCCGCGCTCACATTTCTTCCACCTGATAAACAAATGAGCTGCTGGGTTTTGGCGAAAAGTCGACTCGCTTCAGGAAAATCAGCTTCACCGACATGGAAATGTTGGTTTGACCACCAGCTGCAGCTGAACCCGGAGGCAACCGGAGGTGAAGCTCAGCAGGTCCGAGGCGTGAACATCAGTTAAGAGTACCGAAGTACGGACCGGTTCCTCAGAATCAGTCCAGAAACGGTCAGACGTGAGTCTAAAACATCCTGAGACGTCTGGTATCGTCCAGAAACCAGAATATTCTCAAGTGTTTGTGCTTTTGAAGGTAAAACCTGCAAATATTTGGTGTTTTTACGAAACAAAACCAGAAGTTTTTGACTCAAAGTTGCTGCTGTGCTGATGAAAAAAGCATCTCCAGACATCATCTTCAGCCGAAAACACAAAAAATATTCATACCTACAAATCAAAGTATGAAGTATTCACGTTTCAGAGGCTTTAAACTGCAAATACCAGATTTAAAAAAAAAAAAAAAACTTGACTAAGCAACCAGTAGAAAAACAATTAAAAAAAAAAAAAAAAAAACTTGACTAAGCAACCAGTAGAAAAACAATTAAAAAGTAAAAGTCCAGCGATGGAGACGAGTCTCGTCTAAAAAAAGTGAAACAAAAAGAATTCAAACACGTCTTTAGTCCAAAACACAGAAATATTAATGACAATTAAAGAATCACACGTTTGTTTTAGACACACAAAATGCAAATGTTTGGTATTTTCACGGCTAACAGCTGCAGTTTCACTAAAGTTTGTGACGCTGAAGTTTAAACAGTTGAACTGAATTCTGTTGTGTTTGATCCACAGAAAAATAAAAAGTACAATAATACGGACCAGTCTGGTCCAAAGGAGCTGGAAAAACGTGAAAAAAGAGTCGGACACGTGTCAATACGTCGCCTTTAGTCCGAAACACCCAGAACAGGTTCAAATATTCATGTTTCAGAGGCTCAAAGCTGCAAATGTTTGATCCTGTGGTTTAAAAACTTGATTATTTGATAGTTTTACTGACGTTCTTTGAGAGTCGGAGGTTTAGTCGTCGAAACGTTAAATTAAATTCTGTTTCTCCGAGTGTTGTTAAAAAAAAAAAGTGTAAAAGTGAGTCTAAGAGATGATCAGACGTCGTTTAGTCCAAAACACGGAATTGTTTGTGAGTGGCTACGAAATGTATTATATATTCATGTTTTGGGGCGCCGCTGTAGCTCACCCGGTTGAGCTGGCATTCATGTTCAGGGGCTGTGATCCCGACACAGAGGTCGTGGGTTCGAGTCCCGCTGCAGGTTTTTCTCCCCGATTTCCCCTCTCTCTCTGTCTGTCCTCTCAGATAAAGGAAAAAAAAAGTCTTTAAAAAAAAAAAAAAAAAAAAAACGTGTTTCAGAAGCTGAAAACTACAACTTTTATTTTATTTTATTAAAGTTGCACAATATGACTAAAAAAGATGCAAAATGACCAAAACAACATTAAAAACAACCACCAGGAGATTAAAATGACCAGAAA